CTTCAATCAGGTAGTTTAAAGCCTGATATCTTATCAATCGGACCTCTTGTAGGAATCTTATTGAATACTATTTATTTTTTCAAATCTCAAAGGAACTAACTAACTTTTGGGTACCTCATTCTCATGTTTGCTAACACTCTATTGGAAAGCCGGAGGGTAGGGAAGAAGACCCATTTACACCTTACCTCCAAAGGGGTGGCATCATTAATGCCTTTCCGTGTTACTCTTACCAAAGAAATATCGCCATATCATGTATGCTTAATACCTACTACTAATGTATGTGAATTGCTAAGTCAATTATAAAAATTAAAGGCTCTATTTTCAGTTCACGATTTGTAATCGAGTTCTTATCATAATTAATGTGTTTTGGTTAGAATAAATCTCTTCTATTTTGGAATGAAATCGTCAAATCATAATTAGGACTTCAGAAGTTACATATGAGAAAGTGGATTTTTCGGGACAGAGTTTACGCTTTTAACAAAATTTTCTTCCGTATCATAATGTACCCAGCAAAAAAAGTTTCCTAATGATTGGTTTAGTTTAAAGTCGCGAACAAGCTGATTAAATTGCGATAAGCAATCGATCCGATATCAAAAGAGCGTGAACTGCATTTTTAAGAAGTAAAACGTCGTATGGTGTCGACCCGGTGCCCTACCTTCATGGAACCTCAATAAATAAATGTATTATGTATATGTAACCAGAAGAGGAGTTCAGAACTGGTAGGTAGCAAGCAGGTAATGGTCCGGTTTAATTTTCTTGTCTTATTATGTGTAAGAAACTGGCGCATCGTCAGAATTGATATATTTTATAATATCAACAGCACAGCCGAATATTTTAAATTATTGTATACAACGGTAAAACATCTTCTGACCTTAGCGGATTTCATGGGGCGTTATCCTTTAACCCAAATGCTGTTGTTATTTAGTACTATTTACGCGAAACACCCTTCACTATTCTACTTTAATGCCTGCTGTTCCACATCCAGATAAGTATTTAGCAAAATATTTTATTTTTCAAATAAAAAAAGTATGATATCTATTGTGCAGTCGTGAGATAAAAAATTATCCGGAGACCACGCGGAAGTTGCGTTTATGAACTCTCGTTGTACTAGAATGTTATTAAAATAAAACTAGTAGCGAAATTGATGTGTTTAATGAGAAGGTTTCTTGCATACTAACTAACAACATTAAATTTACTTAAAACTAGAGAACAACTAAGAAAGGGGGTGGAGTCTAATTGAAAGATATTCTGGTGGTAGATAAATGTAGGAATTTCCTGAATGTCGTCTTAGACGACAGGGTGTTGAGTTCAACCAGGTACAGAAAAGTTCTGAAAACAGGTATGAAAGAGCTAACAATGAGCCAGGTATTAGTGACAGGAACACGTCATTTATGCTACCAAGAATTATTGAATTCATAACGTACATTTTGTCTGTATGATAAATAGAATATTCACGAAATATTGTAAAACCAAATAATAAAAGAAAGGAATTTATGACCTAAAATATTTGAAGAAATGTTATAAAGTTGAATTTGACAAAGGAACAAAGAAATTTAGAAATTTGAAATGTAATGAAAGTAATTAACAATACTAAATTTATCTAATTAAACGGGAAAGTCTTTGAATTAAAATAATTGTAAAAAATATAGATAACTATTAGCACTATACATCTTTTGAAAGACTGCAATTAATTTACTTTGGAACAGGCATTCTAGGAGTCCTTAATCTTACCTTAAGAATTTAATTTTGTCGACGCGGATTTTGGTTATAAACGAGAGGATAACATTTGGTAGAGTTCAAAGTGCAACATAATTAAAAAACTCCCTACTCGGTGGGGGCTGGGTGAACCCCAAAAACCCTTTCTTATGGCTACGACACTGATATCAATCATTAATTTTATCAACAATTTCTGTATATTCGAAGGTCGAAAACATATCATCATCATCATCATCATCATCATAAGGCCGCCAGTCCTAAGACTGGTTGGATACGCACCCCCACTCTTTCCTATCCTGAGTTAATCTTCGCATTTCCCTAAAACTAGAACATCCTACATCCTTAACTATTTGCGTACAATAATCTAATCTTACTAGACCTTCATGCCTGAAAAGGTGTTCTACCAACCTATCTCGCCTATTTTTTATTGACTTACGTAGAGTCCTCAGTTCTCCTATTCTTTTTTCTAACCTTTTCTATCCACGGTCTCCTCATCATTCGCTGGTAACACCACATTTCGAACGCTTTTAACCTTTACCGCCGCGCCCACCGTCTATGTTTCGCACTCGTACACCGCCGTGCTCCAAACATACACCTTTAACAATCTTTTTCGAATTTCTAAATTAATCGTTCGCGACCATAGAACTGACTTTTTTTTATTTAGGCAACTCGACCCTGCGTTTTCTTCTGCTTTAAATCCCTACTACTCCTTCTGTCTTGACTTATCTGACTTCCTAGATACCTAAAATGGACCACTTCGCTCTTTCCCTACTTTTTGTTCCCTTGCATACCATTATTTTTGTTTTACTTTTATTTATTTTCATACAGTACTGTTTTGTCAATACCGCTTCCATTTTATTTAAAGCTATCTATAACTCCTCTTTGCTAGATGCTAATACAGCTACATTACTACATACCCTAGAGTTGTATTGTCTTTCCTGATGTTATCGCGTCTTCGATATACAGATTACAAAGTAGGGGTGTCAGTGTGCATAAAATTCATCATGACATAGTTCTTAACCGGAAGGAATTACTTACATTTTTGACTTGAAATAGGGAAAGCATAAATTAAAATATGTATATCAATACATTGGAGTTTATGTTAATATATTTTGAAGAATGTTTCACAATTAGCATTAAATTTAAAGTTTAAGAGGCATTATGTAAAGTCGCACAGGTATTTTGCACTATAATAACGTGAAAAAGTTTATCCAGTGTTTACGTAGGTATATTGGAAAGTGTTACTCATTGACTACTAATTAATAAATTTACAATGCCCTTTCATTTAATAAAAAAATAATTGAAGTAGTAGGAACAGTCGATTTGTTAATTATTAAATGTAAGAATGACGAAATGTTCGGTCACGTAATTATTATGCTCTAAAGTAAAAATTACACGGATTTGATGATTAAAAATGCGCTCAAATTATTCGTGTTAAGGTACTGTCGAAACTAATGTAAATTAATATGGTATTAATTTGTGTACAATTGGGATCCGTCAAATGGGCATACACCATCTGGTGGCAAAATTTATAACTCGAATGAGGGAAAAATTTACATAGGAACTACGCACGCAAATTGTAAAATTGTTTATTAAAAAAATAAAACACGTTAAAAAAGTAAAATTTTTTTTGATGATGAAGTCGACGAATTTTTCTTCTAAAGTTAAATCAAATAAAAAGTTAATATGTTCAGTGAAAAGCTGCAATAGCACTTCAGACATAGATCTTCACTCTTCACCTACATTAACTACTTTCCAATAAAAACTAACCGTTTTATATATGTAAAAAATATATTCGGAAAATTAGAGAAAAAAGTAAACTAATAGAAGCTTGGATGAAAGCAGTAGG